GTTAAGGTACTATAGAGAAGAACAGAGAAGAGCAATAGGGAATGCAAGGTTGAGTGGAGATGGGCCTGCCAATTTAAATAAGGTGGCCAGGGAAGGCCTCCCTGAGAAGATGATACTTCAGCAAAGACCTGAGGGCAGTGAGAGAGCAAGTTATGCAAATATCTGGTGGTGGGGAGCAGGGAGAGCATTTCAGGCAGAGGGAACAGCAAGTGCAAAGGCCATGAGGTAGGAATGTGCCAGAGTGGTGAAAGCTGAGTTGCTGAAGAGGACAGTAGCAGAAGATGAGGTAAGAAAGATGAGATACAGATCTTTCAGGCCTTGGAGGCCATTGTAATGGCCAGAGCGGTATGTTGGCTGGACCCTGAGGAAATGCTGAGGAGCCAGACGGGGTTGACAAGCATCCTGAAGTTCATACCAGCTTGGAGCACCTCTGTACTCTGTAAATGGCCCTTTGGAATGGGGACTCATACTCAGAACACTTCTCTATGCTTGATCTGAGCTTGATCTAAAGAAGGATTTCTTATCCTCAACACTATTGACATTTGAGGCTAGATAATTTTTTTGTTTTGGGGGGCTATCCTGTGCATCACAGGATGTTTAGCAGCATCCCTGGCCTCTACCCACTAGATACCAGTAGCACCCATTCCCCTAATTGTGACAACCAAAAATGTTTCCAGACGTTGCCAAATGTCCCCCACTGAGAACCACTAGTCTAAAGGAAGGCAGATTCCAGCTCCCTATGCTGGCCACCCATTGTCCTCCTTTCCCCAGGAGCCAGAAGATCTGCTGGGATTGTCCATCTCCATAGGACTCTCTCTTCCCAGAGAGAACCTGGTCTGAGCAAGACCAAGGATTCCCCACCATTGTCATAGTAATAATAATTTTTAAAAAACCCATTGTCATCAAGTCAATTCCAACTCATAGTGACCCTATCGGACAGACTAGAACTTCTCCGTGAAGTTTCAAGGCTATAATCTTTATGGAAGCACAGTGCCACATCTTTCTCCCCTGGAGCAGCTGATGGGTTCAAACCACTGAGCTTTTAGTTAGCAGCCGAGCGCTTAACCACTGTGCCGCCAGGGCTTCTTAGGGGCCCCATGGATGTGCTATTTTGTCATCAAATCCAGTGAACTCCTCCAACAAAATCTCTCTAGATTCTGACCACTTCCCACCCTCTCTCACCTGGATTTTTATAGTAGCTTCCAACTGGTGTCCTTGCATCCAGCTTTTCCCAGCTTTGGTCTAATCTCCATCTACCATTTTGCTTTAAAGTAAGTCAGATTGCATCATAGTTCTGCTCCAAACCCTCCAGTGACTTTCCATGTCTTCAGAGAAAGCTCAAAGTCTGTTCAATGACCTTCAAGGCCTACTGACCCTCACTGCAGCTCACTCTTCTCAAACACGTCAGACACACTACAACCCCAGGGCAGCTTTGCCCTTGCTGTCCCCTCTGCCTGGGATGCTCTTCCTCTAGTTATCCACATGGCAGACTCCCCCAACTCCTTTTGTCTTTATCAAAATGTCTTTTCTCACCGAGGCCTTCTTTAACTTCCCTGCTTAAACTTGCAATCCCCCTGACACTTCCTCGCCTCCCGCAGTCTTGCACCTCTTTTCTCCATAGCCCCTACCATCTAACAGCATGCATTTTGCTTTTCTTTTCTGCCTTCTCCAAAAAGGGCGGGATTTCTTATCTGTTTGTGTCACTGGAGGCCTGGTGGCATAGTGGTTAAGAGCTTGGCTGCTAACCCAAAGGTCAGCAGTTTGAATCCACCAGCTGCTCCTTGGAAACCCTACGGGGCAGCTCTACTCTGGCCTCTAGGGTTGCTATGAGTTGGAATCAACTCGACAGCAACGGGTTTTGTTCACTGTTATATCCCCAGTAAGGGGCTCTGATGGTACAAATGTTAAGCACTCATCTGCTAATCAAAAGGTTTGCAGTTTGAACTCACCCAGTAGCTCTGTGGGAGGAAGGCCTGGTGATCTGCTTCCTTAAAGATGACAGCAAATAAAACCCTATGGGGCAGTTCTACTCTGTCACACGGGGTCGCTGTGAGTCAGAAATCAACTCAACGGTGCCCAATGACAACAACATATCCTTAGTATCTAGAACAGTGCCTAGCATGTGATGGATCTTAAAAATAATTTTTTTGAATAAATGAATGAGTGAATGAATGAATCCCCATTGCTATTATTGCTAGGTGCCTTTTGGAGGTCCCATCCACCTGGTTCTCAGATCTCAGCATTTCAGCAGTCACAGCCTCTTTCTCCCATTTTACTTTCAGACACTCAGAGGCACTGGGCCATGCGTAGAACATCCAACAACTCTGCTATTTGCACCATCATTCCAGGTGTCCCTCTTGTCCTGAGCTTCTGCCCTGAGAAACCCAGGTTTTGGGCATGATGTCTGCAAATGGTTTTAAAGATTGGCAGTTTAAACCCACCCAGTGGTGCCCCAAAGAAAGACCTGGCAATCTGCTTCCCTAAAGATTACAGCCAAGAAAACCCTATGGAGCAGTTCTATTCTCTAATACACGAGGTCACCATGAGTTGGAATCGACCCGGTGGCAACAGGTTCGGGTTTTTTGGGGGGGAGGTCAATCAGCAACCCTGTGCTGGGCCTGGCAGAATCCACAAGGAAGCCAGGGGAGACCAGCAGGCCAGACGCAGGCAAGAGTCCAGCGATGCTGGCGATGATGGATGGGGGCACTGCAGGCCATGATGGAGACAAAGCTGGCAGTGGAGAGACATCGATCCGTGGGGGAGGCGGAAGGGCCCATTTCCCGTCCACTGACTGGGACTTTAATGAAAGCAATCATTCACTTTTGGTGCCACTGCAGGGACAGGTGGGCTGGCTGGCAGTGGGGACTGTGTCAGCTGTTCTATGACTGGACTGCCTGGGCCACGCCTGACAAAACATCCTCTGTTGGACTTGGAACTTGCCCTCGGCCCGGGAGGTGATTTGCATTTTCTCAAAGGGCTCCAGATGGAAAGATTTGAAAAAGATAATGTGTTCTGGCTTGAAAGGGAATCAGTGACCTCTGCCCTGGCTAGGCCCACGTGCCGCAGACACGTGCCACGTGCCTCGCACACGTGCCACGTGCCGCGCACACGTGCCGCACACATCAGGCACCGTGGGGCTAGTTGAAGGATCTGCAGTCTCACACGCTATCAAGAGGAAGAAAGGCAGACTTAAGCGCCTTTTAGTTCCCTTCCATTTAGGGCATGAAGGCCTCTCCCACTGCCAAGGCCACTTGCCAGCTCTGAGGCTATTTCTAGAAAAGGGCTCCCGCAACCCCTTTGCAGAGCCCTGGTGGCGCAGCTGTTAATGAAAAGGTCAGCAGTTTGAATCCACCAGTCGTTCCTTGGAAATCCTATGGGACAGTTCTACTCTGTCCTATAGGGTCACTATGAGTTGGAATCGACTTGTTGGCAATGGGTAAACCCCTTTGCCCAGCCGTGCGAGGGGCCAAGAAAATGTGAGGTCTCTCAGGCCTGAGCATCAGGTCCCACTAAACGGGATGGCTCAGAGGGGTAGGGGGGTGCCATAACCTCCCCCATTACCCGACTCCTTTCATACCCAATCCCTACTCCCCCACCCTAGTTCTCTCACCCCAGTCTTCCTTACATGAGAGAGTCCTCAGATGTATTATGCAGCTACATGACAACTAAAACAAAACAAACACTAAACTAGTTGCTGTGGAGTCGATCTTGACTAGTCCCCAGTGGGTGGTGGAAACAGTTAAACATTCAGTTATTAACCAAAAAGTTGGTGGTTTGAATCCATCCAGAGGTGCCTTGGAAGAAAGTCCTGGCCATCTGCTTCCAAAAGGTCACAGCCATTGAAAACTCATGAGCATAGTTCTACTCTGCAACACATGGGGTCGCTATGACATAGCAACTGGAAGATCATGATCCCTCTCTGTTCTATAATTTTTGACTGTGAATTTGACAATAACGCTAATAATAATAATGTAGCATGTACGTACCATGTGCCAGACCTTGTGCTAAGTGTTTCTCATGCATAGTGTAGGTTGGAGAGTTGGAATTCTGCAATTCTGAATCCTGGCCATGCTTCTTATTGTCACAGGGCATTGGGCAAGTCGGTGATTTTGTTGCACATCAGTTTCTTCATTTGCAAAACTGAGATGATAATAATAATACCTACCCTAGAGTGGAAGGAGCCCTGGTGGCACGGTGGTTAAGTGGTGTCCTGCTAACCAAAAGGTTGGTGGTTCGAACCCACCAGCCACCCTGTGGGAGAAAGATGTGGCAGTTTGCTTCCTTAAAGATTACAGCCTAGGAAACCCTATGGTGCAGTTCTACTCCGTCCTATAGGGTCACTATGAGTCCAAATCGACCGGACGACAACAGGTTTGGTTTTGGTTTACCCCGTAGTGTTACTGGGAGGGTTAAATGAATTAATAAATATAAAGCTCTTAGAAAATAAAAACCTCTTGCCGATGAGTTGATTCTGACTCACAGTAACCCTATAGGATAGAGTAGAACTACCCCATGGGGTTTCCAAAGAGCGGCTGGTGGATTCGAACTGCCAACCTTTTGGTTAGCAGCCAGGCTCTTAGCCATGGTGACACCAGGGCTCCCTTAGAAAATAATAAGCACTATATCAGTGATTGTTAAATGACTCTTATTTATTTCTGACACCTCCTCGAGGTAGCCACTGTTATTTCCCCATCTTCCTTGCCAATGATGAAATTGAAGCGTAGGGAGACTGAGTAAGTTGCCCAAAGTTGTGTTGTTTCTAGGGTTGCTGAACCCAAATGTGTGAACCTTTATGTGTGTCTCTCCATTTGTCAATTTCATAAGCCATCATGTCTCATATCCTGTCGCATTTCTGAAAATTTACCCATCACCAGCTGCACAAAGGAAGGCTCAGGAGCTAGCCAACCCAAACCAAGAATCTTCCTTGGAAGATGGGGCAGGGGTTGGGGGGTGGGGCAAAGAGGCTCCAGCGAGTTCTGTCTTCATGCTGGCTTTTTCAGACAACCCATCCTCCAAGCGATCCAGGAATCTGGCTGAGGAGCTGGGCAGAGCTGTGGAGATCATGGGTAAAGGCAAGAATGGGCTTGGCTTCGGCAAAGTGGACATCACCACTGAGAAGGAGCTTCAGGAGGAATTTAATATTAAAAAGGCCCCAGAGGTGAAGCTGTTTTTTGAAGGCAACAGGTCTGAACCCATCAGCTGTGAAGGTAATGGGGCTTGTGGGTGAGTCAAGGTATGCTAGCTACAGAAACACATAAACACCAGAGTTTCAGCAGCTTAACAGAACAGTAAGTGTATTTCTTGATCACATAAATCCCAGTTGGCAGCCGGAGGGTGGACGTAGGGGATTCTACTCCACAGAACTTTTCTGGGACCCAGGCTCCTTCCTGCTTGTGGCTTTGCCCTTCACAAGGGCCTTGGAGCTACCCACTGTTTTCTCTGCATCTGGCCAGTATTTAGGACAAAGAAGCAGAGGGTCATCACCATGGGAGGTATCCATGGCCTCGGCCTGGAAGTGGTGAATATTTTCATTCCGTTGACCAGATTCTGTTACATGCCCACCCAGCTGCAAGAAAGACAGAAATACGTTCCGGTGCTCTGTCCATAAGGTTTTCCTTTGGGTTTTGGTGAATGTGTAGCTGCCTCTACCACAGCTAGTATGTCATAGGAACGCCATGAGGTAGGAGGGTGGGGTGCGTGGTTTAGAGCTATCAATTGAGTTCCTAACTCCAACCCCCTCGCCTTCTCTTTAGAATGATTTTGACATGGCTCCAGGCCAAGAAGTCCTGGTTTGTCAAAAGGAAGCCTGAGATGATGGAAAAAGACAGGCTTAGGATGGGATGTCTACTAAACACTGTAACTGCTCTCATGATCCATTTCATTCATTCACTTACCCGTTCATTTATTCATCACTCATTTACTGAGAACCTCCCATGTATCAAACCTTGTCTTGCTCTTGGAGATACTTGGAGAACGATGTGCCTCAGTGTGGCACATGTAGGCCCTAATTTAAAAATCGATGTTAAAATATATAAACGCATAAACGGATGCACATGGATGGATGGATGGATGGATGGATGGATGGAATAAAACTGGTGAACACAGTTCCGGTGAACACAGAAGTGTCCAGCACAGGTCCTACGGTGCTGACAGAATGTCCGCATTATATATGTGTTAGGAGCCTGGGTGACACAAGCATTTTGCGATCAGCTGCTAACCTAAAGGTTGGCAGTTCAAACCTACCAAGCAGCCCTGCGTAAGAAAGCCCTGGCAATCTGCTTCCATAAAGATTACAGCCAAGAAAACCCTATGGGACAGTTCTACTCTATAACACATGGGGTCACCGCGATTCAGAATTGGCTTGACGGCAACAGGTGATGATAACAGTATATGTATGTACTGAATGATTGAATCTCAGGCAGCTGAGACTGCCTTTCACAGGGCCTGGCATACAGAAGGCTTCTAAGAAGCGCATCTGAGTGTTGTTGCAAGAACCAAAGGGGCTGGAGAAGCACCACCACATGCAGGGGCAGCATGATGCCTTGCAGTTCTCAGAATGGACACCAGGGGGCATGAGAGACACAGGCTAGACTTGCAGGGGACGGTGCAGCAAACAAGAACTTTATGGCAGGTTACATAAGAGAGCTGACAGGCCTGTGGTTCCCAGCAGGCTTGCAGGAGGGAGGTGTGTGTGTGTGTGCAGGGGGAAGAAGAAGGGCAGATGAGGAGAGAGGGCAGGAGCAATGAGATAAGGGACAGAGACTGCTGCTTCCTATGAAAGCTGAATGCTGACCTTCAGCAAGGGGGACCTGTTGATCCCCAGCAAGGAGCCCTCAGGGAGGTGTTGGCTTTGAGAAGGACTCTAAAGAGACGTGAAGCCCCTAGGTTACTTTTCCAAGGTCCGTATATGCCCACAGAGTAGCTCAGGTGCTGTTGTGGGAGAAAGGGACCAGTTTTGCCTCCCAAAGGACAGGTGAGCTCTGACTCCCCAATTAGAGGAAATAAGATGAAGATGCGACAACTTGCAGGCTGTGGACGGGGCTGGTATAGAAGCTCCCGAGGCCTTTGGCCTCTGAGCCTCCTTCATGGTGGGAGCTAATACCTGGGACTTCCTCTGCCGTACAGGAAGCTTCATCCTCACCTCCTCCAGGAAGTCTCCCCTGATTGCCCTTCCTCTGTGATCCCACAGCACCTGTGCTTCCCCCACCAAGGTCCTCACCTCACAGAATTGCTTCTGTTGCTCATTTTTCCACTCCATGGAATGAGACCGCCACAAAGGCAGGGAGCTTATGTCCATTTCTGGGTCCTCTGAAAAGGCTAAGGAGCCCTGGTGGCACAGTGGTTAAACGCTTGGCTGCTAACCAAAAGGTCAGCAGTTCGAACCCACTAGCCACTCTGTGGGAGAAAGATGCGGCAGTCTTCTTCCTTAAAGATTACGGTCTTGGAAACATTATGGGGCAATTCTTCTCTGTCCTATAGGGTCAGTAAGAGTTGAAATTGACTTGACGGTAACAGGTTTGGTGTCTGGCTTTTGAAAAGAACTGGTGGGCTACCACGCCAAATTCAAATCCCAACACTATGCCTGAGGAAAAATTATTCTTGTTGAACCTTGTTTTCCTCATCTGTAAAAGGGGATGATAAAAGTCTCTACCTCCTAGGATTGCCCGGAAGATGAAAAAAATGTTTGCAGGGCACAGGGCCTGACACACACCTGCACGTACCTGTGTTCCAGGCACTGTTCTAGGCCCTTCTCAAGTGTCATGACAACTTCACGTGGAAGGTGCTATTTTCATCCCTCTTTTGCATATGGAGAAACTGAGGCACAGAGAGGCGGAATACTTTGCTCAAGACTCCCCAGCTAGTAAGCACTGGGGTCAGCAAATGTTTTCTGTAAAAGAGCCAGATAATAAATATTTTCGGCTTTATGGACCAGACGGTCTGTCACAACTACTCATCTCTGCTATTGTGTGAAAGCCTCGTCCTGTTGCTTTTGAGTCCATTGCAACTCATAGCGACCCTATAGGACAGAGTAGAACTGCCCCATAGGGTTTCCAAGGCTGTAATCTTTATGGAGGCAGACTGCCGCATCTTCCTCCCTCTGAGCAGCTGCAGCTATATGTAAATGAATAGCTGTGGCTTGGATCCAATAAAGCTTATAAAATCAAGTGATGGGCAGGCCAGATATGGCCCACTGGCTGTAGTTTGCTAACCCTGCTCTGCAATGTGCTACACTGTAAGTAAATGGCAGATGTGGTCATTATTATTATCAAGCCATTATCGTTGCCTAATCCTTGTCCCGTGCCTGGAGTCCCTCGGTGGTACAAACAGTTAATGTGCTTGGCTGCTAACTGAAAGACTGGAGGTTTGCGTCCACTAGAGATGCTTCGGAAGAAAGGCCTGATGATCTACTTCCAAGAAATCAGCCATTAAAAACCCTGTGGAGCACAGTTCTATTCTGACACACATGGGGTTGCCATGAGTTGGAGTTAACTCCACGGCAACTTTTTTTTTTTTTTTTTAATTTTTTCATCATCTTAGTCCAGTGCCCGGGACATTGTAGGATTGCAAGGGCGGACTGCAGGAAGTCATGGGAGCAACAGGCCAGTCCGTGCTTCAGCTGGACTGCCTGTCCCCCTTCTTCCTCAGGATTACCCAGCCAGGGAAAGAGGCAATGGATGCTAGGCTGCAGACTGGGCTGGGACCTAGGATGCCAGGGTTTTAGGACAACCTTTTGCCTGCACTAGCTGTGGGAATTGGAGCAAGCCTTTTAGATCCAACATTCCAGTTTCTCATTCTCTGTGGTTGTTGTTGTTAGGTGCCGTTTACTAGGTTCCAACTCATAGCGACCCCATGTACACAGGATGAAGCACTGCCCGGTCCTGCGCCATCCTCATCATCGTTGCTATGCTTGAGCCCATTGTTGCAGCCACTGTGTCAATCCATCTTGTTGAGGGCCTTCCTCTTTTTCGCTGACCCTCTACTTTACCAAGCATGATGCCCTTCTCCAGAGACTGGTTCCTCCTGATAATATGTCCAAAGTACATGAGACGAATTCTCGCCATCCTTGCTTCTAAGGAGCATTCTGGCTGTACTTCTTCCAAGACAGGATGAATAATGCCAGCAGCTCTGCCTCCTGAGCAGGGCTGCTCCAAGCTAACAGGAGAGATGGTGCTGGACATGGCTCCTGCAAAGTGACTTGTATTGAGATCTTCCTCAGCAGGCAGGAAGGATTCAGTCCTTGCCGGGTCAAAGCCCAGCCCCCATTCTCCTCTAATCTCCAAGGATTGATGTGGGAGACTTGGCCTTGGCTGCCTCCCTGGAGGGAGGGAGACTGGGTTGCCTCTGGGGCCTCTATTAATGAGGCATTCACAGCCTGTGCCTGCAAATATGCAGCCAAGCTCCGGCCCCAGTCAATCATTGACAGAGCTTTCATGTCTCAGTTGTCACCCTGTCCTCTGGGTCAGAGCCAAGCACCAGGGGAGACACCGTGACCAACAAGGGCAGGCACTCAGGAACAAAGTATTTGCCAAATTCAGAGCTCCTTTAGTCCTGTGGGGTTCAGAGGGACCAAATAGAGTTCATTCATCCCAGAGAAGATGGCCCAAGATCAAGTTTCCTCAAAGCCACATTAGCTAATGATTCATTCACCTCATTCATTCATCCTGTAATTGCTTCTGGGGTACCTAGTATGGGCCAGGCACCATAGGAGCTACCGTGAGCTCACATTAAACAAGTCTGCAAAAAGAATAATTTCAGGAAGTGAGAGACTCAATGAAGAAAATAAAACAGGTCATAAAGTAGAGAACAGTGGGCAATCGTAAGTGACTGAGGTGGGGTGGTAGGAGAGTGCTCTGCCACAGGGCCTTTGCACAGGCTGTTTTCTGTCTGGAAGCCCTTCCTTCTCCTTTTTGCCTCCATGTTAACTCCTATGCATCCTTCTGTTTTCAGCTCATACATGATTTCTTCCAGGAAGCCCTTGACCTCACAGTCTAGGTTGGGTATCTTTGCTACAGGTGCATAGAATTTTAGAATACTTACCTTGGGTGTGATTATACACTTGTTTGTGTGAGTGAAGGAAGAAACAAGAGAGTGAATGAATAAAGATCTGTGGATGTAGTCCAAATCTACTCCCAACAAACATGGCCTGCTAAAAATATATTGCTGTATGTTATAAACTCATTAAAATGTTCCATTCATTCTTTAGCAGGCTTTAATATAAAGTAATATTTTACATTACCTGCCATCATGTGAAATGAATGATCCGAGGAAACACACGTTCATCCGTAGCCTTATATAAAGTCTAGCACACCGTTATGTCTCCCCACACGATATATGTGTCCAATTTTAGAAGCTAAGACTATTGTGTGCCTGCCACACGATATTTGAGAAATGGAAGTCAGGATTGTATAATCTTAGAGGACATTTGGGTGTCAGCTGAGAAATCAGAGGCACAGGGGGATAATGGGATTTTCCCCAGGTCACAGAGCTTAGCTGGTCTCTATTTATACTTTACTTATTTATACTTAAAAAAAAAAATTTAATTGTGACCTTGGAGGGTAGATAAGTAAACAAAGCTGGAAATGTTTTCTCCTGGTTTGAGTCTACGGTTCACTAGTGGGTGTCTTTTGGCAAGTTGAATTTCTGTTTCCTTGCCTGTGTAACGGGGAGTATGTATTTCATGGGGTTGTTGTGAAGACTGAATAGGTGCAAAACACACAGCGCAGTGCCTTGCCCTTGGTAAGGGCTCAATAAAGTTTAGCTGCTGTTGTTAATGTTCATGTCTTGGGGCTTGGGGGAGGTGGGAGAACTGACACTGGCCTTCAAGGAAATGGGAGCCCAAGACAAGATACTTACATTCACTAAACATGGGGGAAGACAGGCCTTGCCTTGGTTCAAGAAGAAACCTTTGTGGGATCCACTGTATCTCTCTCCAGGTGTGGTTGAATCTGCTGCCTTGGTGGTTTGGTTGAGAAGACAAATTAGCAAGAAAGCATTTTTGTTCAACAACAGCCAGCAGGTTGTGGAGTTTGTGAGATCCAGGCCTTTGGTCATCGTTGGCTTCTTCCAGGTACTGGCATCAAGAGGTGGGGGGAGGCTTCTCGACTGGTGAGGAGTCCTATGTCGAGGAGGGTGGGTGATGAGGTGGGGAGTTCTTCTACTTGGGTTAATTCCATACCCATTCTTCCCCATCCGATGAGCTGGTTTTTGGAGGGAGCTGAAGGGTTAAAAATGAAGAACGAAAAACGGAAGCTGAAGTAGTAAGACAAGATAGCTAGAAAGGTACACAGGAACGGAGAAAGAGGAGAGAACACTGACGTATTGATTTAATTGGTTTTGACAGTAGCACTGATCTTTCCGGGGTCCATTTAGCACATCACTGAATAGAGGGATGTCTTATTTTCTGATTTGAGAGCCTTTCCTTTCTATGATTCTGAAAGCCATGAACCATGCTTGGGCCAGGCTAGTCTCTCTCCCTAACCTCTCTCCAATTATCCCCATACGTTGAAACCCATCACACATTATAAATATGCTGCCATTTGAAAATACGCTAATCCTCATCACAGGTGCATCAGGGGAAAATGTTTGGGGAAGGATATAAATAACTTAGATATGCTACTGAAAAGTCTCATGATAGTTTTCTACTGATTTTATTTTATGTATTGATACACACAAACAAAAGTTATTTTTTGCTCTTAAACAATGAGTTTCTCTTGTGTTTTAACTCATTTGATGTAACTTCAATGATACTTCTCCTTCTCTCAGTGGAAGTGAGAACGTTCAAGTTACATTTATACATGGGGAGAGTACGTGTCTTCCCCTCCCATTCTCTGACTGTTTTTTGTCCCAATTTTCTTTCAAACTAAAGAATTAAGGCTGATACTACAGCCCATATCTTGATACTGAGTTTATATTTTACACTATATGTGATCATACCAATTGCCTCTTCTGAAAGCAATTATGGAGAAAATGTTAAAATGCCTCAACCTCAGGATTAGGACAGCCTTCACTCTAATAATTGGAAAAGGTCAAGTTTATCAGTTCTTTCCATCAATCTCTGTGGATTTCCCTGTTTTGGTCTTAATCATAGCCAGAGAAGCATTCTGGGTATGAAACTCACATGAAAGGGGGTTTAGGTGACCAAGCAAAACTCTAGAACTTGGAAAAGTAAGGAGACAAATTGGCCACTATTTCCACCTTTGGCTTAAATAACCCAAAATTTTGCTTTTCTATCAAAACTTTACCAAGCATCCTTCCCTCAAACAGGATTTAGAGGAAGAAGTAGCAGAATTGTTCTATGATGTGATCAAAGACTTCCCAGAGCTAACTTTTGGAGTGATATCGATTCCCAATACCATTGGGCGGTTCCACGTCACCCTCGACAGTGTCCTGGTGTTCAAAAAGGTAGGACTTTGACCCCTTTGCTAGTGAGGAGGTCTCTAGTTCAATGCAGTGAGAAGCGTATGAGCTTTGAGTTCAGATTCTAGCTCTGCCGCTTGTGAACTACATGGCTTCGGACTAGTTGGCTTCTGTGAAACCACAATCTTCTGGTGTTTATCACCTTTCTAGCCATTCTCCACAGTAAGCTCCTTCTCCTTTCTTTAACCAGTAAAATGTTCATCCAGGCCCAGCCCTTGTGGTCCATGCTCCCTCATCCATCCATTGTCTGCAATTACCATCTATACACTCATGACTTACAAATATCCATCTCCTGTCAGCCTTCTCCAATCTCCAGATATTTATATCCATCACCAGGGGTTGATGGCTGAGCACAAAGTCTTAATCTGCCCTCCAGACCCTCTTCCAGGGCTTTTCTCCCTCTCAATGAATGGCACCACCATCTCTTCCACCCTGTTCAGCAAGCCAAAGCACCCAGGCATCATTCTAACACCTTCCTCTCACCATCTCTCATAACCAATTCATCACCCCAATCACACTGGTTTTATATTGAAAATATTCCTTGAGTGCATCCACTCCTCTCTGTCTTCACTGCTACTATCCTAGATGGAGTTGCTGCATCTACTGCAACAACCGCCCAGCTGGCCTGTCACATTCTCTCTTGTCCTCTAAAGAGCAATCTTCCCAAAATGCAGATCTGATGATGTCACTTCCCTCTCCCCACTGAAAGCCCCTTAAATGACTTCCTTCTTATTCTTAAGATAAAGACTCTAATCCTTCAGGAGGCCTGTAAGGTCTTTTGCAGCCTGGCCTCGATCTATCTCTCCAGCCTCATTGCACACCTTCCTTCTACTCCCTCTCTGAGCTCTAGACCTGCACTGTCCAATATGGTAGCTCCTAGGAAAAATCAGCCAATGAAAACTGTATGAATCACAATGGAACATTATCCAGTCCATAACCAATCCTGGAGATTGTGCAGGACTGGGCAGTGTTTTGTTTCGTTGTGTATGGGGTTGTCATGAGTTGGGGCCGACTCGACGGCAGCTAACAACAACCACATGTGGCTATTTAAATTAAAATTAATTCAGTTTAATACCTCAATTACACAGGCCACATTTCAAGTGCTCGCATGTGGCTTGTGGCTACCATATTAGACAGCACAGACTTATAGAGCATTCCAACCATCACAGAAAGTTCTACTGGGCAGTGCTGCTCCAGTTACTGTAGTCTTCTGGTTCCTGCAGTATGCCTTATTCCATTGCCGCAAAAAGCCATACCCTTGCAATAGCCATGTTGTTTATAGATCTGTCTCAGAGAGGTTAGGATAGTTTCCCAAGGCCACACAGGAGGTAGGTGGAGTTATACCCACATCTGCTTGACTTTGAAGGGAAGGCTCTGAACTCTTGTTTTTTTCCCAATGGTCCATGAAAGCCATTGAAAAGTTGTAAGCTGGGGAATAAAATAATCTGATTTGTATTTTTAAATAAAGCTGTATATAGCCCAGAATAGATTCAAATATATATGGAAATTTAGTATATAATAAAGATAGCATTTTAGATCAGTGGGGAAAATATGGATTAATCAATGAATAGTGAGGAGACAATTAGGTAGTCATCTGGAAAAAACAACAACAAAAAACCAAAAACTGAAGCTGGATCCTATCCATGTATCACATATTACACCAAACTAAATTCCAGATGGATTCCTAGTTTAAAAGTATAAAAAATGAAACCATGGAAAGACTATAAGATGACATGGGGGAGTTTGTTTTCTAACTTTGGAGTGGAAAAGCCCCTTTAGAAGCGTGGCATAATCCCCAGAACCCATAACAAGAAAATATTGATAAATTTCGACCATATAAACATTGAAAAGTTCTGCAGAAGAAACCCCATCTTCAAATTAAAAGACAAATAACAAACTTGGAAAATATATTTGTGAGGAATTTGACATATTTTAATGGTTAAGAGGATAGACCCTAGAATCAGACTGCTTGTGTTTGAATCTTGGCTCCATAACTTACTGGCTCAGCAACATTGAGCAAGTTAATTTACTTCTCTGTACCTCAATTTCCTCTTCTGTAAAATGGGAGGGGGATGAGTCAATGCATACAAAGTGCTTAGAACTGTGGCTGGCATAATGTGAGCTCTCAGTAAGTCTATTCAGTATTATTACTATTGCTACAAGCAGCAGAGAGTTTGGACTTTATCCAAAGGACAATAAGGGGCCTAAAAACTGTTTTAAGCAAGAGAATGACATGATCAGATTTGCGTTTAAGCGATTTCACTTTGGCTGAAGTGTGGGGAATGGGTGAGAAGACCAGTAGGAGGTTACTGAAGGAGTCCAGGTGAAAGATTTGGACTAGGGTGGGATTGGTGGAGATGAAGAGAAGGAGACGAAATAAAGAGAAATCAAGAGGTAGCTGCTTTTTTCTCCTTTCACTCAGACTTTGATCTTGGGCTACAAACCAAAAAATCCCATTGCTGTCGAGTCGATTCTGACTCATAGCAATCTATAAAGAACCACATAAGTTCCTGTGTTAGTCCAGGCCCTTCTGAGAAGCAATCACCAAGCAGAATTAGACATGCAAAGGATTTACCAGGGAGAACACCTGTGAAGGAAAATGGGGAGGGAGCTGGGAGAGACTCTGAGAGCCATCAGATCCTGATGTAGGTCTGATTCTTTTGAAGGAAGGAAGGTTGGGTGGATGGAAGAGGCTTAGGCTGCAGTGAGGTTCTAAGAATGTTCAGTGAAGTTGCCCATCAGAGAAGTCCCACATCTCCCAGAAATGGGCTTACTTTAGTATCCCTGGTGCATTCAGTCATTGGCTGAGAGCAGCATGTGACAAGCATGGCCTTAGCACAAATACAGTGATGGATTTCAGAGTGCAGCAGCTGGGGTTGTCATTCAATTATACTCCCTGTGACCCAAGAGCTAAAAGATTTTTCATAGCTGCCACATACCTGTGAACCACCCATAGGCTAGTCTGCTCAGCTTTCCATATTTATCAAACACCTAAGTTATGGATTACACACACCACCATTTCTCAATGCTTTTATCCAAAGAGAAAATTGTGCCATTTATATTTATTAAATGCCTACAGTATGGAAACTACTTCCTTTCATGTTTCTCTTTTTTTGTCCCAGGGAAAAGTTGTGAACCGCCAGGAGCTTATTAATGACAGTACCAATAAGCAAGTCCTCAGTCAAGTCATTAAACAGCACCTCACAGATCTTGTTATTGAATACAACACCGAGGTCAGTGAGTAAAGGGCCCCGGGAAAAGGGGAGATGGGGTGACTATGTGTGTGTGAGAATGACTGTTTTTCCTTGTAATTTCAGAATAAGGATCTGATTTATGAGTTGAACATCCTGAATCACATGATGCTGTTTGTCTCCAAAAGCTCAGAGTCATTTGGTACCATAATTCAGCAGTATAGGTTGACATCAAAGGAATTCCAAAACAAGGTGTGTGGAAGGTGTCACTGCTCTTTGGGGCTCTTGGATGGGGATCAAAGACCTGTAGATTCTGCTGCTATTCACCTGCCCTGCTTGTAAATTAAGCCAGAAATCATTCAGTTACCTACTCATCTTTTTAATAAGTATACTATGAAAATCTGATGGGTTGGCTCCTTTTGGATGGGTTACTTTCCAGCAAGAGTGGGAGACCACAGGGTGATCCTTGGGACAGTGATTAGGAATTAGGCTGGAGGTGAGAGGGAGGAAAGACCACTCCTGGCTGAGGTCATGGAATGTGAAAAGCATGAAAGAGTGGAACAGTACAGTTTGTTGAGATTGTGGGCTTTAACATCACACCGACCTGGGCTCAAATTCTCTACCTCTTATAAGCTGTATAGGATGAGTTTCTTAACCTCTCTGCCTCAGTTGTCTCATATGTTAAATAGAGAGTTGTGGTAAGAATTAGACATGCTTGGCGCGGTGGTTAAGAGCTCGGCTGCTAACCAAAATGTCGGCCTTTCTAATGTACCAGCTGCTCCTTGGAAACCCTATGAGGCAGTTCTACTTTGTCCTCTAGGGTCGCTTTGAGTTGGAATCGACTCGATGGCAGTGGTTTTGGCTTGGTTTATATATAAAGCAGTGAGAAAATACACAGTAAATGCTGTTTATGATTATTATCCTTATCATTTTTGGAAACAAATCCATTTCTCCTAAGTGTTCATTACTATATTTGTTGTAGTTACCACCATGCAGACTACGAGGGCTATTTATTTTATTTTATTTTTACAAGAAGGATGATAATGGCAGATTCTTTTTTCTTTTTGAAGAAAATTATTCTGATATTTAAATCAAACAATTAAATATTTTGAAACCCAAAATAAACATAGAGTAAAGCTACGAGGGTGTGAACATATTTAATGTCCATGCTTCGTCTGTCACATTGGTCTCCAGGAAAATTGTTCCAGTCACAGAAATAACCAGTTAACCAGTTGCTATCGAGCTTACTCCAACTCATGGTGACCCCATGTGTGTCAGAATAGAACGGTGCTCCATAAAGTTTTCAGTGGCTGATAGTTCAGGCCTTTTTTCAGAGGGGCCTCTGGGCGGACTCGAACCTCCAGCCTTTTGGTTAGCAGCTGAGCACGTCAACTGTTTGCGCCACCTAGGGACTCCATCACAGAAATACTTCTTGCAAACATATTTCCTGGTTTATTAAATTTTAAGATTTTTGACATAATTAAATTGATTACAATCTGAGGGTTTTCCCTCTATTTCTCCTGTGTTATAATAATCAATACTTAGCCATATTTTCTTCTAGTTTATGGCTTTATTTAACTCCTTAATCTAGCTGGAACTTATTTTGGCATATGTCTTAGTTACCTACTGCTGCTCTGTCATGGATTGAATTGTGTCCCCCAAAAATATATGTATCAATTTGGTTAGGCCATGATTCCCAGTATTGTGTAATTGTCCACCATTTTGTCATGTGATGTGATTTTCCTATGAGTTGTAAATCCTATCACTATGGTGTTGATGAGATGGGATTCGCAGCAGTTACTTAATGAGGCAGGACTCAATCTACAAGATTGGATTGTGTCTTGAGCCAACCTCTTTTGAGATATAAAAGAGAGAAGCAAGCAGAGAGACATGGGGACCTCATACCACCAAGAAAGCAGCACCGGGAGCAGAGCCTGTCCTTTGAACCTGGGGTCCCTGTGCCTGAGAAGCTCCTAGTCCAAGGAAAGATTGATGACAAGGACCATCCTCCAGAGCCAGCAGAGGGAAAGCCTTCCCCTGGAACTGACGCCCTGAATTCGGACTTCTAGCCTACTAGACTGTGAGAAAATAAACTTCTGTTTGTTGAAACCATCCACTTGTGGTATTTCTGCTATAGCAGCACTAGGTAACTGAGACATTCTATAACAGAAATACCACACATGAGTGGCCTTAACAAACAGAATATTTATTTTCTCATAGTTTAGGAGGCTAGAAATCTGAATTTAGGACACCAGCTCTAGGGGAAGGCTCTCTTTCTCCGTCCGTTCTGGGGAAAGGTCCTTGTCTCTTTTCATCTTTTATTCCTAGGTTCTTGGCAATCATGTGGTCCTCTGTTTGTGCTTGCTTAATGTCTCAAAAGACATTGACTTAAAATACACCTTACACTAATACTGCCTCATTAACATAACAAAGAAAACCCATTCCCAAATGGGATTATAACCACAGGTATAGGGGTTAGGATTTACAGCACATATTTCAGGGGGACACATTCAATCCATAACAACATATAGTGTGAGATGAATTTCTATACTGCTGTTACCCCCATTTGCAAGCTTCTCCAATGGGCTGTGATCCCTATTAGAGCCAAAGAGAAACAGCTGGATTAATATTATTATTCCAATAGATTGTACTGCCATGCCCGTTTTAGTCACCTCTCCACCTCAGTGCTCAGCATATAGCAGGTGGGCAATATTGGTTAAAAATACACAAGGGTGGTTTTAATATGTTCTTGATGTTTTTCACAGTCTCCCCAGCACCTAGAAGAGTGCCTGACATGGTGGGGCGCTTCATATTTTGAAGGATGTATGCCCTGAGAGCATCTGACTCCTAGTGGCTGCAGTAACCTCTAACTGGTCTCCCTGCTTCCACTCATGCTTCTTCTCTGCAACCCCATTCCCTGTGCAGAAACTAGAGTGATCTTTTAAAAAATTGTTATCATGTCACTCTCTGCCTTAAAAATCCTTCTGTGTCCTCTTAACACGTTCAAACTAAAATGCAAGCTCCTTACAGAAGCCACTAAAGTCCAACACATCCTTGACCTCATCTCCCATGACCCTCTTCCTCCTTCTCACTTCCTTACCCTTATGGTGCTGAAGTCACATGGGTCTTTCCTTTCTATTTCTAGAACATTCTAAACTCTTTTTTTTTCCTGCCTGCAGGCCCTTGCTTTGGCAGTTTCCATTGCCTGGATCACTGTCCCTTTGACCTGTTACTCATCGCCAAGTCCCTCCTCAGAGACTCCTCCTCCCAACCACCCTGCCTAGCACTGAGCCTCCACCTCGTCCCACCTGCACAGTCACTTTCTATCACTTTGCCCTGTTTTGTTGTCTAACTGGCACTCACCAATTATCAAGTTCGTCCACTCATTTATGGTCTGTTCTCCCCACTAGAACATAAGCCCCACAAGGGCAGGGATCTTGCCTTCCTTGGGCAGTGGTGTTCCCCCGTGCTTAGTAAAATGTTGAGCATGTAGTAAGCACTCCATGAATATCTGCTGAATGAATGAGGGAATGAAGTCATGCATTTTTTTCAAAGAATAATTCAGAAAAAGAATAAGAACAAGAGTTGATATATATGGAGCATTGTCCACCTGCTGGTCACTGAACTAAGTCCTTCGTATAGATTGTCCTATTTAATTCTCACAGTAACCCTCCGGAGTGGATAGCATTATAATCACCATTTTACAGGTAAGGAAACTGAGGCACAGAAAGGGAAAATTATTGTTTTGCCAAGGAGCTGGGATGTAAACTTAGGACTGTCTGACTTCCTGTGGTTGTGTGGGTGGTGTCCTGAGCAAGGGTGCTCTGACAAGCAGCAGATCGCTGCCACCTGGCACAGCTCGGGTGCAGGGCTGCACCACCCCGAAGGAAGGGGGCCTTTACTAAGTCCTACAGAGGTGCCCCATATGCTCCGCTATTTGCATTCCACAGTGCACTCCCAAAGGTCCTTGGGTGTTGCATACATTTTGTGCTCAGTTATTAACCTAAAAAGGTTGACAGTTTGAATCTACCCATCAGCACCATGATAGAAAGGCCTAGCAATCTGCTTCCCTAAAGTTTTTTAAAAAAGAAGCCAAACTCATTGCTGTCGATTCAACTCCAACTCATGGTGACCCTATGTGTTATAGAGTAGAACTGTTCCATAGGGTTTTCTTGGCTATCATCTTTACAGAAGGTCCCTAGGTGGTGAAAATGGTTTGCACTCAACTACTAACCTAAAGGTTGGTGGTTCAAACTCATCCCGCAGCTCCATTGAAGAAAGGCCTGGCTATTTGCTTCCGTAAGGATTACAGCCAAGAAAACCCTATGATGCAGTTCTACTCTGTAACATGTGGGGTTGCTATGTGTCGGAGTCCATTCAGTGGTAACGAGTTTGACTTTGGTTTTTGGTTAGTGCACTCCCAAAGTTTCCCAACAGTTTCTCTCCTTTGGCAAAGAATCCAGAGAGAAACAGATTTCATTTCATTTGGCAGATCCTTTTCATCCTTGTGAATACCGATGAACCCAGAAACAGACGTGTCTTCGAGTACTTCCGGATCACCGAGGTTGATATCCCATCTGTCCAAATCCTAAACTTAACCTCTGATGTGAGGTATAAAATGCCTGCGGAAGAGATAACCTATGAAAACCTTAAGAAATTCGGCATCAGCTTCTTGAGTAGAAGTGCCAAGGTAAGTTCCTTCTTGGACAAGATTTACCCAGAATCTCAGAATCGCCCCTTTCCCATAACTCTGCTGGCTTTGCTCACCCAAATGGGGAGGAAGGATAACGGTCAAACTCGTGGTTCAATGTGGAGAATTCTCTCATCTCCCTACCCCAAATCTGTCCAACTCCTGACCTGTCCTGAGCCTATAATTCCACCATTAGTACTTTATTCTTCTAGTGAAGTAATTTCCTCCCCAAGAATCTTCCCTTAAAATGCTGGCCCTCAGGAGGGCTAACTGATCAGTCTCTAATCCTTCTTTAAGACTCTAGTGTGAAAGTTATACTTATCCGCAGGGTAGATGCATGCTTATGAGGAGCAGAAGAGGGTGGCGCACAGAGCTATCGGCATTTAACCTCAAAGGTTTTAGGAGACATTTGGTTGGGTGGGGTGGAAGGGGGTCTACTTTGCCAAAAGGGAGAAGCAGCTGCAGAAATATCACCACATAACACACCAGCCACTGTTACTTAGCATCTACTGTATCCCTCAGCTGAGGGCAGTGGTGGTTCCATGGTAGAATTCTTACTTTCCGTGAGGAAGACACGGGCTTGATTCCTAGGCAATGCTCCTCATGTGCAGCCATCACCCATCTGTCTCACTCATTGTCTGTCTCCTTCACTAGAACATAAGCTCCACAAGGGCAGGGATTTTGCTTGCCTCGGGCAGTGGCGTATCCTCAGTGAAGGCTTACTTGTTGCTCTGATGCTAAACAGGTTTCAGTGGAGCTTCCAGACTAAGACAGACTAGGAAGAAAGGCCTGATGATCTACTTCTGAAAATCAGCCAGTGAAAACCCTATGGGTCACAACAGTCAGATCCTGTCATGCATAGGGTCGCCATGAATTGGGGGCCTACTCAACAGCAGCTAACAACAACAATACCCTCAACTACCCTGCTGAGTGAGGTGACCATACTGTTTATGGTCCAAACTGGGACACGTCTGAGAGTAAAGGGGACACTCTTTAAAGTATTCTGGAACAACAGGTGTAAATTGGGACTTTCACAAGCAAACTGAAATGTATGGTCACTTTACCTTTGAGGGCTTCCCTTATCTTCTGTCCATTCCCCTAAGCAAACTGCTTCCCTTGCACCTTCTCAAGAGGAAGCTGTTTTTCTCTTACACACAGTGTCATCAGGAGGTTGTTGTCTTTCCCAAACCATTCCTCCTCCTTCTACCATCCAAAACCCCAGATTCTTTGGATCCTATGCCTTTGGACTTTAGACCACCTGCTCCCTCCCCTCCTTGTTGTTCTCTGTCCGTCTCCCCTTCACTCTCTGAGGACTTAAGCTCCCAATCACAGACTTCCCTTCCACCTCTACTCCACCATCATTCCCAGAGACGTCAGTAACTAAAACCCTGGTCTCTCTTTGGAGTCCCTGGGTGGTACAAATGATTAATGTGCTCAGCTGTTAATCCAAAAGTTGGAGGTTCAAGTCTACCCAGAGGTGCCTCAGTAGAAAGACCTGGTGATTCACTTCCAAAGAATCAGTCATAGAAAACTCCCCGGAGTACAGTTGTACTCTGTAATACAATTTATTCCTGTTGTTCCAAATCGACTCTACAGCAACCGGTTTGGTTATTGGTTGGTCACACCTTTCCGATAACCAGTGTGTTCACTCCACCTCAGCCGCCTCTTCTTATGACCACACTCTGGAGATGGAAGCCCTTTGAAATCTTGATTTTAAGTTTCCTTCTCTAGTACCCACATAGCTACCATTTCTCAACTTCCTCATGGCCTCCAATCTTCCGATGGCACCTCTTTCACCACGTCAGCTCTTTCCTCTCTTTGCTGTCATTTTTGTGGACTTGGATTCTATGGCCCATCCCTCTGATGACAACTCCCTTAACTCCTTTACCCACTCCGCTTTCCACCTCCTCCATGCCCTAGAGTACTCACCAGGCAAAATCCAAACCCCAATTGAACCTGCTTACCTTCTCCATTTCACACCGTGAGCCTGGGTGGCTTCATGGAATCACAAACCAAAATTTCCCATGGGCTACCAGCCACGTTCTGGCATCTCTGTCTAACTTTCTCTTAATGGGTTCATTTTCTCAGTCTCTGAATCTGTTTCTCCTCATACATCATTTCTTTCACTGTTAGCTGAGTACTCTACACAATCGATTGTGAAGAAAATAGAAGGCTTCAGGAAGGTACCCCTTGTTTTCACCACCATATCTACAAACCTACCTAGAAAACTCCACCCATCTTCTGTCTTCCCTCTGGTTAGATCTGAGAACAGGTTAGACCTGCGAACAATACCTCCCTCTCAAGGGCCAACATGCCCTTTCTGCTTTTGGAAAGAAAATGGACATCCTTCATGTGCCTAGTGAACCCTGCCTGGTCTGACCCATTCCTAATTCCTAATTGTCCCTAATTCCCATTCCTAATTCTCCCTCATTTTCACTATTTCCCATCTCTGGCCCCCAGTCCTTCACCACTTTTATGCTCAGACTACAAGGGTGTTTTGGGTCTTTTCCAGAATCTGGGGCAGAGTGAGAGAGGGAATTGTGGGAGAAAAGGCTGGTGATCTGGGCAGAGGCCAGAAAACATGAGTGTCTTAAGCATATTAAGGATTTGGTATCCTAAGAGCAATGGGAAGCCAGGTTTGCATGGTGAACATAGAACCCTGCTTGTGGAAGAATAAGGGTGTGGAGAGGCTCAAGAGGAGATGCAGAAGGAACATTCAGGAAGCTATTTCAGTGGTCCAGATGAGAGATGAAGGCCACCTGGACTAAGGTGGTGGCAGCGTGGATGGAGAGAAGAGTGTGGATTCAAGCGATATTCAGCAGACAATAGTTCTAGAGAAAAATATGATATGGCCTGAGATTTGTACCATCTCCTTCAAGGAAAAGCAAGAGTTTGGTTTATTCTTTCATTCATTTATTCACAAAACATTTATTGAAGGAGCCTTTGGATGGCACAAGCAGTTAACTGCTTGGCTGCTAACCAAATTATTGGAAGTTCAAGTCTACCCACAGGCACCTCAGAAGAAAGGTCTGGTGAGCTACTTCCAAAAAATCACCTTTTGGAAACCCTATGGAGTGCAGTTCTGCTCTGACACACGTGGGGTAGCCATGAGTTGGAATCAACTGGACGGCAAGTGTGTACAACTATGTACCAGGAAGTGGATACTCAATGAGGGGAAAAAAGCCCTTCATGACATTCCGTCTACCTAGGAAGACACATATTAGTCAAATAACCGGACAAATAAATATAAATGATAATTTTGAATAAATGATACGAGAAAAAGTACTAAGTGTTATGGAGAAATTACGGTAGTGGGATCTAACCTACTCCGGGGGAGGGTCAGGGAAGGCTTCCCTTGAGTTCATTCTGAAGGATGAATCTGAGGAATTTATAAGAAGGCAGGGCAGAGGTGAGGAGTGGGGAAGACATTGCAGGCAGAGGGAACAGCATAAGCAAAGACTGAGGTTGGAGGGAGGCAGTCCTTTGTATTAATTAAAGATGTTAATGCGTGAACCCCACTCTCATCTAAAAATCCCAAGAATCATGTATTTGAAATGCTAGAGTCCATCCTAGTTTGGAGCTCTGTCTCCTCCTCAGCCTTCTAATCCCAATTTTCCCTGGACAATCCAGGGTAGTCATCAAGCTCACCATCTAGGTCAGCATTTCAAACTCCCTCCCAAGACTCTTGTGTAAGAATAAGAGAAAAACTTCCATTGTTTCCCATCAGAGTAGGGACCCCCAACTGCCAACCTCCTTCTGGAGACTGTTAGATCTCTTGAATTTGCTTCCTAGAAACATCAATCCAGTGAAGAGCTTCCAAAATATTGGGACCAGGGACCGGTTAAGCAGCTCGTGGGAAAGAACTTCCACATAGTCGTCTTTGACAAGGAAAGAGATGTGTTTGTGATGTTCTGTAAGTACCTCTGCAGGGGCAGAAGGGAGGCAATGCTCCCACGTTGTTACTTTTCAAGTGTTTCCTTCAATTCTTGGGCACTCATATCTCCAAAGCCCAACCAAGCAGCATGCCAAAGATGGTCTTCAGGCACCCAAAGAGTTTGGATCCAGATGCTATCAGCTACCTTGTGAAGCTGTGAACATGTGGAATATCTTCCACATAATCCAAGCTCTTGGCTATTTATAACAATAACAATGCGGATGGCTAACATTGATGGAATGCTGCAGTATAACTGAGCTGTTTTCTGTGTGTGTGTGTGTGTGTGTGTGTGTGTGTGTGTGTATACATATATATATATATATATATATGGAGCCCTGGGGGCACAGTGGTTAAGAACTCAGCTGCTAACCAAAGGTCAGCAGTTCAAATCCACCAGCTGCTCCTTGGAAACCCTATGGGGCAGTTCTAGTCTGTTCTGTAGGGTTGCTATGAGTCGGAATTGACTTGATCGCAACGGGTTTTGGGTTTTATATATATATGTATATATAATCTCATTTAATCCTTACAACATCCTTTGGAAAGTAGCTACTATTTTTGTTCCCACTTTGCCGATGATGAAGCACAATCTCAGGAAGATAAAGAAACCTTCCCAAAGTCACATAGATATTAAGTGCTGGAGATAGGGTTTGAACCCATAGAGTCTGACTCTTGGTGGCGTGGTGGTTAAAGCGCTTGGGTGCTAACTGAAAGTTGGTGGTTCGTATCCACCAGCCACTCTTTGGGAGAAAGATGTGGCAGTCTGCTTCTGTAAAAACTTACAGCCTTGGAAACCCTATGGGAGCAGTTCTACTCTGTCCTATAGGGTCGCTATGAGTTGGAATCGACTAGATGGCAACAGGTTTTTTTTTTTTTTTGGTTTAGTCTGACTCCAGAATCCACTCTCATAGCTGCTTTACAGAATGCCCCTGTTTCTGACTTTATGTGACTTATCAAATGTCCCATATTTAACCTACCTGAGTTGGTGTGGCTGAGGTGGGGACCCAAGTCCTGTGTGTAAAGGACTTAGCACACAGTGTCTGGCATATTATAAGCACTTGATGAATGACAACCATCGCTGCTGTTGCTGTTCCTCTAGTTTTAATTATTTCTGGTGCTCACGTTAAGTACTGTTGTCTTTTCTCCCGTTTGTGATCTGCACAGGAGAGCCAAAGCCAGGGGTGTTGTGTCCCATCCTGAGACACAGAGGAGGGTGACACTGAAGTTATCTCAGACATATCTGTTGTTTTTACAGAGGAGTTGCCATTGTTGAGCACTGCAATGAGCCAGGCATGAGTTTACTTTCGACATGTGTGCTCTGTCCTTCCTCACACAAGCCTGGGGGAATGTGTCTTCGCTCCCCTGGTGCTGCTATAACAGAAATACCACAAGTAGGTGGCTTGAGAGAACAGAAATTTATTTTCTCACAGTTTAGAAGGCTAAAAGTTCCGGGCTCTAGAGGAAGGCTTTTTCTGCTCCCTCCTGGAAAAAATCCTTGTCTCATCCTCTCTAGCATTCCTCTTCATGCTCCTTGGAGGTCTCCACGTGGCATGTAGCTTTCCCCATCTGTACTCCTTGCTTCTGTGCTTAATGGTCTCTTTTATAGCTCAAAAGCGATTGGCTTAAGATGCAGCCTACACAGATACAGTCTCATTAACATAACTAAGAAAGGCCTGTTCCCAAATGGGATTACATCCATATGTACAGGGGTTCGGATTTATGACACATACATGTATTTTTTTTTTTTTTACTTTTTTTCTTACTGTACTTTAGATGAAGGTTTACAGAGCATACGAGTTTCTCATTAAACAATACACATATTGTTTTGTAACATTGGTTGCCAACCCCACAACATGTCAACACATTCCCCTTCTCCACTTTGGGTTCCCCATTACCAGCTTTCCTATCCCCTCCTGCCTTCTCGTCCTTGCCCCTGGGTTGGTGTGCCATTTAGCCTCATTTTGTTTTATGGGCCTGTCTAATCTTTGGTGAGGTTGAACCTCAGGAGTAATTTCATTACTGAGCTATAAGGGTGTCCAGGGGCTATACTCACAGGGTTTCTCCAGTCTCTGTCAGACCAGTAAGTATGTGGGTTTTTTTTTTTTTTTTTTTTTTTTTTGTGAGCTAGAATTTTGTTCTACATTTTTTTCCAGCTCTTTCCGGGACCCTCTATTGTGATCCCTGTCAGAGCAGTCGGTGCTGGTAGCCAGGCACCATCTAGTTGTGCTAGACTAAGTCTGGTGGAGGCTGTGGTCCATTAGTCCATTTGGACTAATCTTTGCCTTGTGTCTTTGGTTTTCTTCTTTCCCCCTTGCTCCAGTCAGGGTGAGACCAGTGGAGTATCTTAGGTGGCTGCTCACAAGCTTTTAAGAACCCAGACGCTACTCTCCAAAGTAGAATATAGGACATTTTCTTTATAAACTATGTTATGCCAATTGAGCTAGATGTCCCCCTAGACCATGGTTCCCATGCCTCAGCCCAGTAATTTGGTCCCTCAGGGAGTTTGGATGTATCTATGGAGCTTCCATGACCTTGCCTTGGACAAGTTGTGCTGACTTCCATAGTATTGTGCACTGTCATACCCTTCACCAAAGTCACCACTCATCTATTGTCTAGTATTTTTCCCTCCCACCCCTACCTTCCCTCATAACCATCAAAGATTGTTTCTTTTTTTGTGTAAACCTTCTCATGAGTTTTTACAGTAGTGGTCTCATACAATATTTGTCCTTTTGTGATTGACTTATTTCACTCAGCATAATGCCCTCCACATTCATCCATGTTGTGATATGCTTCGAAGATTCATCACTGTTCTTTATCATTGCGTAGTATTCCATTGCATATGTATCGTAGTTCATTTATCCATTCATCTATTGATGGGCATCTAGATTGTTTCCATCTTTTTGCTATTGTGAACAATGCTGCAGTGAACATGGGTATGCATATGTCTATTCATGTGACAGCTCTTATTTCTTTACGATATATTCCTGCGAGTGGGATTGCTGGATGATATGGTATTTCTATTTCTAGATTTTTAAGGAAGTGCCATATAGCTTTCCAAAATCGTTGTACCATTTTGCATTCCCACCAGTAGTGTATAAGAGTTCCAGTCTCCCTGCAGCCCCTCCAACATTTGCTATTTTCTGTTTTTTTGTTTCGTGCCAGTAATGTTGGGGTGAGATGGTATCTCATTGTGGTTTTAATTTGCATTTCTCTAATGGCTAGTGATCGAGAGCATTTCCTCATGTATTTGTTAACCATTTGAATGTCTTCTTTGGTGAAGTACCTGTTCATATCCTTTGCCCATTTTTTAATTGGATTATTTGTCTTACTGTTGTAGAGGTGTTGAATTTTCCTGTAGATTTAGATTAGGCCTTTGTCAGATAAGTCATAGCCAAAAAATTTTTCCCAATCTGTATTTTCTGTTTTTACTCTTTTGGTGAAGTATTTTGTTGAGCATTAAGTGTTTAATTTTTAGAAGATCCCAGTTATCTAGCTTATCTTCTGGTGTTTATTATTAGTTACGGTTGTATCCTGTTAATGCCGACAACACATATTTTTTTGAGGATGCAATTCAGTCCATAACAGAAGGGCTAATGGCTTTCACCATGATATAGATTAGGGACCTTAGGGAGGTTAATTATTTTACCGCCTGGCCACATTGCACATACGTGGCAACAAGTTCAAAGGGAGGTCTGATGCCTCTACTTCCGTGAGGGTGAGACAAGGGCTCGACTGTATCAAGAAGCCTTTTAAATCTCACTGAAAGGGACACTCAGGCACGGGGCAAGGTGGTTAAGGTCTGCGGCTTTTCAGTGAGCAGCCGGAGCAGCCAATCTGTACTTACCTGACACTCAGAGTTAGGAGAATGCCCATTTGGTTCTTGTAAAAGCAGTCTCATTTTCTAGGAAGCAGGACTGTCAGATTGGCCCCCTGGGGCTGCAGCCATTATGCCCCTTCCTGTTCCAACCCAGGGGCCAACTGGCTCCAGGGGGCTGACGGGTTGTTTGTGCAGATGGAATGGAAATGGAGGCACTTGGTTTGTAAATGGGGGATGATCATCCAAATATAGTGTCCGAGGGTCTTTGAGGTCATTCTGCCCACAGAGCCAGAAACTTTGTGCTTCAGGCTTGAAAGGAAGGAGGAGCAGGCAAAGTTTGGTTTCCCTTTCTTTTTGGATCCGGGCACTGATTACTCACCAGAGGGCCAGGTGCCTGGGCCAGACTCGAAGCTCAAGGAGCTGTCCACAGAAGTCCAGTATCCCCTTCGAGGGGTAGTTGTACTGGTGACAAACTCCAGTTTATTTCTTGGGCGTGTTCTCCACTGGACTGAAAGGCAGTTGGGTGTAATGGTCACAAGTCCAAGCAGCCTGTCTTCATCCCACCTCCTCTGCTTGATAACTGGATGGCCTTGGACAAGTAGCTTAACATCTGTTGAAGAACCCTAACATGCACACCACACACACACACGCTTTTTGGCAGAGCATAAGGAATCATCTAAGGCAAATATTTTTTCTTGCTTTTCTTCTTCAGCAGGAGTGGAAAGTTATGTTAAAATAAAGGATTAAACAACAAAGATTAGCAGAGAACCCCACAACATGTTAAAGAGTCCCTGTCTAGAGTGGAAAGGGACTAGGCTACTTTTTAAAATTTATTTAATAATCATCTGGTACCATGTTTAAATGAAAAGAATTTACCTAATACACCATTAAAGAAAGAGGGAGTGCAATTTGCAAAGCAGCAGAAATATGAATAAGACACAGTGGTGGAGCTTACTGGGTGGTACTGGCTTCCAGATCCTCCGTCAGTGTAAGCCTGAGTAATGGCTCTTCTCTTCCAGATGCGCCCTGGTCTAAAAAGTGCAGGGCGCTATTCCCACTGTGGGAAGAATTGGGCAGAAAGTATCAAAACCACTCCACAGTCACCATCGCCAAGATTGACATCACGGCAAACGACATTCAGCTCATGAACCTGGACCGGTACCCATTCTTCAGGTTTTTCCCCATCAACTCTGAACAAGTAAGAGGCTCCTGGGACGCACATAACTGAAAATGTTATGTTGTCATCAGGCACTCAGTTTCTCCCTTTCTCCAGCTTTGCCTTCTACCAAACAAGCTTCATTCTCAGCTCCAGCCTCTATTATCCACCCATGTTCAAGTCCAAAGAGTATTTTCCAGTAACGTCTACAAAAGTTCCTAAGACTACCTATAGCTGAGTCTTGCTTAGATCAGTTGCCCATCTCTGACCCAATCATTGTGGCCAATGACTCCTAATAAACCAATGAGTGTTTTGATTTATCAGACCTGGGTTACATTGTTCCCTCTGGTATGGAGGCTAAGCCTGACCCTGACTGTATGGGATAAAGTGGGGGAATCTCCATGTGAATGTTGGGGGTGGGGTGCTACCAGTAGAAGGAAGAATGCACATTAAAGACAAACAGTGGCTTTTACGTCTTGGGATTATAGTTATTGACCATCACCAGTGTTGATGGAACATACTCTTCATGCCACTTAGACATGTTGGGGGGATGTGTCAATCAAAGAAGTGCAAGCAGAGGTCCCTGCTCCCAAGAAGAGTATGACTAAGTGTGGGCAAGAAGTCACCATGGTATGATATGGGCCTGTCTCTAAATGCAACTGGACTTGAGGGGAGGGACAGATTCTGGAGGGCAGTTATGGCTGGAGGTCTTCATGCAGACACTGGAGCTTTGAAGAATGGTAGGGATTTAAGCTGGATTAGAGGAGGGGATGTAACTATAGGTAGAGAAGGACAGCATGAGCAAAGAGGGCAGGAGGATAACCAAAGCATTTTGAAGAGATGCCATTCTCCTCGTGCAGGAGATCCAAGTGGAGGATGAGGCTGGAGTGAGAGGAAGGGTCTTAAGTCATCAGAAAAGGAGTTTAGATAACCAGCGGATAGTAAACCACTTCTCATCCTTCTTGAAGACTGAATGAGGAAAGGGAACTAGTGATGGCTGAGCACCCAGGATGTCCTGGATGCTTTGTGAAATTATTATTATTATCATTATTATTATAGTAATAGGAAATACATAGACTGCTCACTATGAGCCAGCCCTGGTTTTAAGTACTCTGCATATATTAACTTATTTAGTCCTTAAAACAACACTCTGAGGTAGATACTATTATTATTCCCATATTACAGATGAAGAAGCTGAGTCATAGAGAGGTTAAGCAACAAGATCACACCACTAAGTGATGAAGCTAGGCCTTGTGCCCTGGCAGTCTGGCTCCAGAGCCCATGCTTTGAACCATTACATTACAACCCTATGATGGAGTATTTGTTAGGATTGATATTTTAGAACCATGGTAATGGAGGCTCAGAAAGCTTAAGTAGTCTGTTCATGATCACTCAGGTTGTTAGGAATTTGAACCTGGATGTACCTATGGAGCAATTCCTGAACATCTTGCAGGAAAAGGCCACCGTCCTGACTGTTCTGTTTTCTCCCTAGGGTGTAATATATAAGGGAGAATATACTGTGAAGGGCTTTTCTGATTTCCTGGAAAGTCAAATCAATACCAGGATTGAGGAAGAGGACGAGGTAAGGGGAAACAGCAACACCCTGAATTACTCTGTCCCACAAAGAATTAGCAGGAACTCAATGGACTGGAGAAGAGTGTGCCAAGAGTTCTCATGATCTTGTCCACTCTGAAGATAGCTGAGGATGGGTGGGCAACCACTGAGTTTGGATGACTTTACTGTGGTTGTTTTTAGGTGCCATTGAGTCAGTTCTGACTAATAATTACCTTATGTACAAGGAATGAAACACTGCCTGGTACTGCGCCATCCTCACAATCATTGCTATGTTTGAGCCCATTGTTGCAGCCACTGTGTAAATCCATCTCATTGAGTGTCTTACTCTTTTTCACTGGCCCTCCACTTTATCAAGCATGATGTCTGTCTCTGGGGACTGGTCCGTTCTGATAACATGTCCAAAGTACGTAAGACAAAGTCTCACCATCCTCCCTTCTAAGGAACGTGACTTTACTAGTCACCTAATTTCAAGGGTATTTACTATGAGGAAGCAGAAATGGGAGGCTTTAAAAAACATGGGGAAGGGCAAAAGTTCTCCCATGGCTCCTACAAGCTGCTTCCCTTGGCCTACAGTTGCTGAGGTGGCAGCCAGATACTTTGATGGGGTCTTGCCTTCTGGCATTATGGATGGGACCACAATTCCCCTCTCCCAATCTTGCCTCTGTGATGCCATCTTCTGGAAGTTTCCATCAGTATTAATCAGGACCCATTCAATTGCAGATGTTAGGAACTCACTGGTGTGAAGAACAATGGGGATTTATCTCATGAAACTGGTAGACTGTCAGGCGGGGATAGATTCAGAAGCTCAAACAGTAATGCTAAGACGTTGTCTCTCTCCATCTCTGTTTTCTTCTACATTGGCTTCATTCTCAAGCAATGGCTTCGTTCTTAAGCAATCTCTTCCCCCACAAAGGACCAGAGATTGCTCCACAGTTCCAATCTAACATCCTACCACTTAGAAAGAAACCACCTCTTCTCAGCCTCAGCAAATACCCTGGGCAGAGATCTCATTGGCTAGGCCTGGGTCACGTGTGCAGCCCTGGAGCTAGAGATGGGGCAGCCACACCTGTGAATTTAGAGTAGGGGAGGGGTGGTTCCTCACAGGTGCTCTTACCAAAAGGGTAAAATCATAGTTAGACACTCCTGCATCCAAGCCAAATGGACCTTTTCCAGTTCTGAAGACCTCTAGGCCAAGAACTGATTCTTTCTGGGTACTTCCTCCCAGAAATAGAGGTCTTGACAATTGCAGTCACAATTATCATATATTTTTTTCTCTTCATTTCTTTGTGCCCTTTTTTCCTCCATTCCTTCTTCTTCTTCTTTTTTTTTTAATAGATATTATTTGTTGAGCAAAGCGAGCTGGTAGAAGAGAAGGTATTGCCTGAGGAAGAGGAGGAAACTTTTGAGAAGAAAGAGTTATCTGAGCAGAAGTTGCCTGTGCTAGAGAACGTGACCAGGCTGGAAGAGCCAGATGGGCAGAAGGAACTAGTGGAGGAGGTGGCTAAGCCAATGGGACCTCCAAGACAAGAGAAGAAACCAAGAGTCAAGGAAGAACTTTAGCTTCTCCAAAACCAGGGGGAAAAGCGTCCATCTTCCTGATCCTGGTATCATTTTCCGAGTGGATCTCCTCCAAATAAAATTTTGTATTATTGTGGTGGGGTGGGTAGGGGCTGGAAAATAAAGTTCCTAAATGCCTTTTGCTCTGTTTTACTCATTACCTCTTATTCCTGATTGATGCTGTCTTAGAAGAGCTGTTTGACCTGGAATTCAGATAGGCTGCAACATTTAATAAGTGCTTACAACTTGCTGGACATTCATCTAGTTCTCATAACATCATAGGGAGGTAGATTTTGTTATCCCCATTTTAGAGATGAGGAAACTGAGACACAGGAGAGGCTAAGTAACCACAGGATCACACAGGTAGGAAGCCATTGAGATTTGATCCCAGGAAATCTCATGCCAGCGACTGTGTACTTAACCACTATGCAGTACAGCCTCATACCAGGTTGCGGGCCCCAGAGTTTGGGGAAGCCTTTGGATTCAAGGGGATTGGTTTACTTGAGCTGCATTTTGAGCCAATAAGAAAGAGACTCAACCCCCACGTCTGTCCCTCAGCCTTTTGCGTCTCAGTAAGTGGCCCACTCACTGAAGCAAAAATCCCAAGATCATCCTTAATTCCTGACTTTCCCTTTACTACCACATCCAAGGCTTGTGGCTCCACCCACTTCCCTCCTCCTGACTGCTCCCACTTCCTCCCATCTCCACTAACATCACTCACCATTCTCAGCTGCTGAAGTCTCCTGTCTCTTTGCTACCATTCTGTACCTCCTTCCCCTTCCCCTGCCAAAAATAAATCCATATTCCACACAGCTGTTGGGGCAATCTTTTAAAAAGCCATAGCCATGAGCACTGACAACACTACCTTGTTTTAACCCTCAAATGGCATCTCAATGCTTTTAGAATAAGATCTAGTCTCCTTACCATGCCTCCAAGGTCCTGCAGATCTCTTCCTCCTCTCTCCCTCTCACTTCCTAGGCTCCAGAAACACTGCCTTCCTATTCTTCAAACAAGTCAAATGCGCGCGCGCTCTCTCTCTCCCCATCACTGTTCCCTCTGCCTAAATGCACTCCCCCAGCTCTTCCTGCTGCTGTTTCCTTTTCATCATTCGAATCTCGGCTCAAATGTCACCACCTTAAAAAGGTCTTCCTGGATCCTGATGTTTGAAAGCATCTTCTTACTTTGCTGTACACTGCTGTATTACCCTCTTCCCCCACTAGCCTATAAACCCCCAGAGAGCAGACATACCTCCTGTCTTCTCCACTGGACTCCCAGTGCCTAGAACTCTGCTTGGCACATAGTAGATGCTCAATAATTGTCAGTGGATCTAATGAAAGAAATTCCATACCAGACAGCACTCATCTCCAAGAGATACATGATTTCAAAGTCACCCCAAAAGGGGGAGGTGCTGACTGTGTTGCCCCCAGATCCAAAATGGACTCTGAATTAGTTTCCTATAACAAATTGCTACAAAATTAATGGTCTAGAACAACACAAATGTATTCTCTTACAGTTCTGGAGGCCAGAAGTCTGAAATCTATTTTACTGGGCTAAAATCAAGGTGTCAGCAAGGCTGGTTCCTTCTGTAGGCTATAGGGAAGAATCCATTCCCTTGCCTTTTCTACCTTCTGGAGGTGGCCTGCATTCCTTGGCTTATGACCCCTTCTTGGAATCACTCCAGCCTGACCCCTTGCTCCCATCACTGCATCTCCTACTTCCTCTGACTCTCACTTTTCCTGCATCCCTCTACTGAGGCCTGTTGTGATTGCATTGTGCTCACCTGGATAAGCTAGGATCATCTCCCCATCTCAAGATCCTTAATCACATCTGCAAAGTCTCTTTTTCCATATAAGGTAACATTCACAGGTTCTCAGGATGAGGATGTGGACATCTTTGGGAGGCCATTGTTCTGCATACCACAGACTCACACTGCTGGTTTGACATCATTTCTGCCAGGGGATAATAACCCTTCTCTTGAGAAAAGAAGGAGCCCTGGTGGCACAGTAGTTAAGTGCTTGGCTGCTAACCAGAAGGTCCACAGTCTGAACCCACCAGCTGTTGCATGGGAGAAAGACGTAGCAGTCTGCTTCTGTAAAGGTTACATACAGCCTTAGAAGCCCTACGGGGGCAGTTCTACTCTATCCTCTAGGGTCGCTATGAGTCAAAATCAACTCAACGGCAACAGGTTTGGTTTTGGCTTCTTGGAAAAGGGAGGGAGTATTATTTTAGGGGCCAAGGTCTCCACAAACCTTCTGGGCCTCTCCACATTCCACCCATCGGAGAAAGCAGTGGCTGTTTTTGCTCTTTAGTCCTCCAGAACCAGCTCCCCCCCACCTGGCCTGTTCACATCCAGATGAAGCAGGGAACAGCCTGGGGCCCTGGAACTCACCAGAGCCAGATGTGCCAACAGGGGCAGGTGTTAGTATTCAGGACACGGTGCAAGACTCACCTGCCTGGGCCTTAAGGCCATGTGGCTGCCAATGAAGGAGGGGCCCATGGGTGCCGCCAGGACAAAATCACATGCAACAGAGCCCCTGTGTGCTATTAGAGACAGAAATGAGTAAACGAGGGTCCACTGGAGGAAGAGGCCCACCAGCCACCCGTGGGGGTCAGCTGGAGGGACCATCTGCATGTCGGCTATAAATGCCCTAAATAATCTGGGCTGCTTGATTGAAGGTACAGTTTCAATACTTGCACACAAAGGCGGTGAAACAGAGATGTTTATTACTCGTAGGTCCTAAACTGGGAGTGCACATGAGCCAGGGAAGGGCAGTCCTCTGTTCCAGGTTACCAGAGAGAGACAGAGAGACAGAGACAGAGCAAAGCAGCAAGCACCTATCATTCAGAGGGGATTTAGGGCAGGGATCACTGGCTTACATGGGTTTAGTTCTAAGTGGCTATTTTGAAAAGTAACCCAGGAAAGCAAGGCAGGAAGCCAACGGTGGGAACTCTAAGGTTGGGGTATTACTTGAAAGTCCACGCCTTGGGTGTGTGCTGCTGTAGCAAGCCCTAAGATGCCAAGGCAGCAACTGAGAACAGCTGCTTCTCATCACACCCTGACGGCCATGAGCCAGGGAGTGGGTGTGCCACCTGCAGGCTCCCCAGGTGTGAGCAGGGCCTCTGGATGCGTGGGCTCAGATTGGGGTAAGCAGTATAGGTAGGTGGGGCAGGCGATGCCCCTTTTTTAGGGGAGAGGATTGTCTCCATTGGCTCATTTCCTGCCCTCTCTCAACCCACACCAATTTCTCATTGTAACCCTGTGTGTTCTGTTCGATCAGTTTTTCAAAACTCTGCGCCTTAGCTTCACCATCTGGAAAAAGACATAAAATCACTTGTCCCTCTAAGGGACAACGGAGAGTTTCTGAAGCAAGGACTAGTAGATGAGAACAATCCAGCAGATAAGTGAAGACTGATGACACAGGAGGAATGGGTAAGTGAAGCTGAGAAGTCAAGGTCATCCAAGTACACGGAGAGGAGCAGGCTGTTACAGGAAGAAGGACGCTTTCCTCCATCATAACAGGAGAGGCGATGTGAAAGATGAGTCCGGGTGCAGGTAGTCTGAGGAGATGGAGTCAGTGCTTCGTGGCCTTGAGGTCAATAGGTGTGTGGGGCTGGGAAGAGGGTGGATGCTTGAGACAAGAGTGGGAAAATGACCCACGAGAAGTATGGCAGGCTGCCCAGCTGTGTTGAGTGAAGGTGATGCTCACAAATAGGCTCCAGCTGACTTCTTGTTCTCCTGCCCAGGTCTTTGACTAGACAACTCCAGAAGCCAATTTTCCTTTAATCATCCAAAGACACTGTTATGGATTGAATTGTGTCCCCCTAAAATATGTGCTGGAATCCTAACCCCTATACCTGTGGATGTAATCTCATTTGGGAACTGGGTTTTTTTTTTTTGTTATGTTAATAAGGTCCTATCAGTGTAGGGTAGTATAGTGGTTAAGTGCTACGGCTGCTAACCAAAAGGTCGGCAGTTCAAATCCACCAGGCACTCCTTGGAATCCCTATGGGGCAGCTCTACTCTGTCCTATAGGGTGGCTATGAGTTGGAATCGACTCGATGGCAACGGGTTTGGTTTGGTTTTATCAGTGTAGGGTGTGTCTTACTTCTGAGATATAAAAAGAACAGATCAGGCACAGAAAAGCAAGCAGACACAGGGGAAAGATGGACCAATATCAGAAGATGGCAGAGGCAGATGTATCTACAAACCCAGGAAGTCTAAGCACTTTGGCTACTAGAAGCTGAAATAGACAAGGACCTCCCCCTAGAGCCACATCCTGATTTTAGACTTCTAGCCTCCTGAATTGTGAGACAATACATCTCTGTGCTTCAAAACCACTCACTGGGGGTATTTCTGTTACAGCAGCCGTAGGAAACTAATACATTTAGACTAGGGTTTAGACAGGGCCTCGTGTGTCCCAACCAGAAATGATGTACATCATAGAGGCCAGAGAAAAATAATATTAAATACCTTTACTTCTTCTAAAGCAATAAGAAAACAGCAACTATTACAACAAAAAGGGAGCAAGTCTACTGGGAACAAAAACAACAACAACAAACAATTGGCCTGGCACACAAACAGCCAGTTCAGAAAAGAAGAATAAATAATTAACAAACAAACGAAGAGATGACTTCTGTTTTCATCAAAGACTGGCAGAAGTAAACAACAGTGAGATATTTCTCACTTATATCTTTGGCAAAGGTGAAAAAAAAAAGCTAACCAAGCTCAGGATTGGTGAGTTCTGTGGATGGGACTGTAAAGTAATTTTCGAGAATCTCTCTAGTGTCCCGTTTGGGAAGAGGCAGGTGATGGTTGCACACCATGAATCATTGTAATTGATATCACTAAATTGTACACATGAAAAACGTTGAATAGGCAAATGTATATATTTTTACAACAATGAAAAATATGCAAAAAAAAAAAGAATATATTAAAAAAAAATTCTTAAAAGCTCTGCCACTTCTTTGACCCAGAAATTTCACTTCCAGGACTTTATCCCAAG